AAACATGACCGTTAATGACATTTCTTTGAAGTTACATTTTTCAGCAATTACTTTTCTGCACGTGTGTGTGTGTATGTGTATGTATGTGTATGTCAGTAGTGGCGCAGGCTTGCGCTGGTCTCTTGTTGTTGTATGCAATATGCATATACATAGATATATCCTCTGCTCTGCTACGTATGTATGTACGTTCGCGCGAAATTACATAGATAAGTGTTACCGTTACTGCCTTTGGGAGCAGTCGTATGTGTGTGTATGTTCTGAATCTTTCTCTTTTGGGGTGGGGTGGGGGTGGGGGGTGGGGGGTGAAGGTTCTGATCATCGTGGCCAGACGTTGTATTCAATTGAAGTTTCACTTGACCTCTGTTGCCGTGCCTGCTCGTACACACACGCATATAATATATATATATATATATATGATGTGTTGTCACACTTCATCCTCTTTCTGACTGGGCCACTTTACTACTGTTTCGCTCTTTTACGTCCTTCTCCTTTTTCTCTGCTTTGCCTCTTTAGTCACTGAGGCAGTCATGGAGGAAATGCGGGATGGCATCAATTATGCCTGGAAAGGGGCAATGCGTGGAGCAAAGCGGGGACTGAAGCTTACAAGGAATGTTTTGCGCAGCATCCCTGTTGACAAGCTGCGCGTGCCACGCAAGAGCAGTGTGGCGAGTCGTTCCAGTGCGCTGCGGCGCCTTTTTCAGCTGCGGTACGGTGCGCAGATTGACAACGAGCGCGGTGAGCGTGTCGCGGCGGCAGAAGCGAGCGAGGTTGAGTCGGAGGAGGAGGAGCCCCTCACCGACCAGCAGCTGCATGAGTACGTTGACAAGAAGTACTTTGATAAGTCCTACGAAGCGATGAAAGATGAAATCTCACACATGGAGGTCGTCGACGGCAGTGGCCACGGTGGTGATGACACGCAGCAGCAGCAGCAGCGGCAGCGACAGGCAACAGAGGCATCAATACGTGAACTGCGGCTAAAGTGCGATATTGTGAGCGCCACGCTGAAGAAGCGTGTGCTTGCGAACAGCAAGGAGTTTGTCAGTGGCGTGGAGGAGATACGACTCATCAACGACCGGCTCTTGGAGACATCTAGCGACTGCAAGAAGGGCCGCAACATCATCCGCAAGGCAAAAAATGCGGCGGCGGAGCAAATGAAGATACTTGCCTATCACCGTAAACGCGGCAACTGTAAGACGACCCTGGCACTACTCGAGGGGATGCGACAAATCTGTTTGAAGCGCAATGAGCTCATGACGCTTATCGAGAGTGGAAAACTTATAGAGGCTGCGGAACTGCTTCAGCAGCACGCCGACATTGAGCATGAGGATCGCATTAAGAAGCTGCACTGCATGACCCGCATCATTGATGACTGGAAGGAGTATCGTGATAACAAAGAGGCACTGAAGCGATGCCAAGACGAATCACTAACGGAATGTCTGACAGCAAAATTTATTCCCTCGAAGTATATCAACGCCTTCGAGGCCTCACTGGCGTTGGGAACCTCCGAGCGTGTCTCGGGCCTCGTCATCCAGACGTTATGGCAGTCTGCCGTGTACATTCTCACCAAGTCCCTAATAGAAGTCTCTGACATCAAGAAGGAGGACGCCTCTATTGCTGATATTGCTGCAGCGATCCATCCAGATCATTTGATGCTATGTCTGTGTCAAATGTCCGCCAAAATGATGGACTTTCTGTTTTTGTTTGTCACTGTGCGCAAAATGCATAGCGATTCTAGTCACGCCGATCACCCTTCCGCCACACTGCACGCCGATGTTTTGCGGGAGATCACAAACGTCAGTCATAAACTTGGACAGGACTTGGTGGAAAAAATTTCCCTTGTTCTGGACAAGATTCAACTAGACTCGGTGGATGTGGAGCGGGTGCTGCACGTATTTTTTGTGGTCAGCATGCTAATCGAGGCGATTTCTGTGCTAGGCCTCGAGAAGCCTGCACAAGCCGCCGCTCGGGCGCGCGTGAAAACGGCTTTAGTGCGGTACATGACACAACAATTTCAGGAAGTGAGGGCATGTCAGATTTTGCGTTTCATGGCGGAGGATGCCTGGGTTGTTGGCGAGGTGAGCGCGTTGGAGCTGCAGGTTGCGAGGCCGCCACACCCCGAGACCTACCGGCGTGCGGTAAGAGAGGTAAAGGGGTATCTTACGGAGGCCTCTATTGAAACCCCCTGCAGTCACGAGAATCCATTTTACGCTGCACACCTGCTGACACTTCAGGACACCTCGCGTATGGTGCAGACGGAGTCTCTTCGCGAGGAAATGGCTCGCCACGGGGTAGGGGGAATACCTTCCGTGTTAACAGCCTCAGCCGTAGCTGTTGCCAACACCTTATTGGAGTATGTGGCGAGGATTGTGGCACGGTTTGCTCCGCTAGCGGCGGAGACACTTGGCTGGGCTGAGGATCTTGTTAGCTTATATGTTTACACGGTTGCCGATAACTTTGTTTCCATCTCTCGTGCGGTGCGTCTAGAGAACCAGGGAGACTTCAGCAAGTTGACGCAGGCAACACTTATTGAAATGCGTGCGGGGGCAGAGAGATCGGTGCGGCAGTATACATCTGCTGCAGTGGCTGCCACTGCTCCATCTACGTTTACGGTGGAGGATGAACCGCAGGGAGATTTTCCTCCACGTGTCTGGAGCCGCATTCGGAGCATTATCGCAAGCGATGCGCATCAATACGCCCTGGTCAACCGGGCGGTGGCGGGGCAGTCGTGTGTGACGCTCGTTTATGTCCTGGAGGCGACAACGCAGTCCGTCGCTCCACTGCTTTCGCGAGCGACGGTGGAGCAGCAGCTTCGACGCTGCAGTGATATGAAGGCTGCCAGTGAAGAACTGCTGCATGTGGGTCTGCACCGCTTGTGCCAGGCCATTTTCCCCATGGAAAGCGTTACTCATAGCATCAGCAAATTGCGCACGAAAGAAAAGAGGCTGCAGGCAAGTGCGTATGTGAGTGTGCTTGTGGAGGACATAGGATCACTCAACGCGAAACGTCAAGCTATGCCGACGCCGGAGATGGAGCAGCTTTTTATGAAGCGTTTTGTTTTTGCCGTCCAGACAACGTTGCTGCGAGAATACGCCAAGTTGGCCAAGAAGAAGCTTTCCGATGTCTTCATTATGCAACTTTTAGTGGACGCACAAAGTTTTCAGCAGCAGGTAGTGGCAAAGTTTGGCAAAGCGGTGCTTGTCCTTCCGGATTTTGTTCCAAGCTTTGTGAAGGCTGGATTTATTGAAGATAGGGAGGAGCGTTTGGAGTGGGTACGAATGCATCACACGGTTTACTGCGCTGCAGACATGGTCCAATGGTTTTCTACGGGTGATCGCACCATGAAACTGCGGATGGAAGACCTCTTGGAGCAGGTTGGACACCGAGATGTGATTCCTGTGTTGCCATTTCGCTAGTATTTGCCACTTACCTGCGACAACACATTTTTCACTAGGTCTGTTTGGTTATTTTCAGGTGCGCCTTTTGGGGGGTGGGGCGGATATGAGTGGCCGGGGGAGAGGACAGAGAAGGGCCGTAGTCGACCTTTTTTTTTTTGTTTCTGCTTGCACTGGCCCTGTAGTTGTGCCTGAGTTGATGTTGTTTGGGGACTTTATGCGGCATGTGGTGGTATAGGAGAGTAAGGGTGTGCTGGTTTGTGTTCCGTCCCCTTGTTGTTGCTTGCCGGCATCTTCGCCACCCCGCCGCTCCCAGCTGGTGGCGAGGTTCCCCGCAACTGCGGTAGGGAAAGAGGGAGAGCCACAGACCGTTCCAGCCATCGTAGCCATTTCTCTTTTTGTTTTTGTTTTTGAGTGTACCTGTGTCTTTGGGTGTACGCGTGTGTTAGATGAACTCTCCTCTTTGGTGGTGGGGCTGTTGGCTCGCCTCAGGCCACGCCATGGTGTTCTACTGCGTGTTTTCGCTGCGGAAGGGAGAGAGAAAAGCTTCATTCAGGCCCAAGTTTATTCTTTATTGTCTGCGATACATGGCAGTCGTGCGGCGTGTGTGTGTGTGTGTGCACCAGAAAGTATGTTTTTCCTCTTGCCTTTGCTTTTTTCCGTTTCTTTACTCACCTTATCGTTTGCTCTCCGTCGTTTCTAAGGTCTTTTGCTTCTTTTTTTTTTCGTTGTTGTGACGTGTGCGGGGTGTGTGGGGTGCGCTGTCTGGCTCAGGAAACTTCCAGGTATTCAATGAAAAGTATCTTTCTAGCATCCAGCGTGGCGGTGGCGGCCGGCTGGGCGTACGTGCGGCACATTCAACTTCCTGCTGGGCCAACGCGCCTCGACTGGGGAGGCCGCGTCTTTGGCCATCGCGGCTGCAGAGGTGTGCCGGGAGTGCCGGAAAACACACTGGACGCCTTCAAGTACGCCCTTTCGCGCGGTGTGGCGGGCATAGAGGTTGATGTGCGGCTCACAAAAGACAGCGAACTTGCCGTATTTCACGACGTCACTTGCAATGGTCACCTGAAAGGTGTGGCAGCAACAACGCGTATAGATGAGCTCACCCTTCTCGAGCTGAAGAGGCTTCCGTTTCAGGCAGATCCAACACGACAAATTCGCTTGCCAACCCTAGAGGAATCGCTCCTGTTTTGCCGAGAAAACAATCTCAAGATGTTGATTGAAATTAAGGAAATGCGACGGGCGCGGCTTTGCGCGGACAAAGTTCTGGATTTGTACCACCGCTATCCAGACTACATGTATGAGCACACTGTTGTCGTCTCGTTTAACCCGGCGCTGCTGTACTATGTGCGAAACCGTGACCGCAACGTGGCAGTGGGGCAAATCCACTCCGGGCGAGCTCTGCGCACGTGGATTAGGACAGGGACCATAGATGTGCCGTGGTACGCGCGTCTATGCCCAGCTGTGTTGGACTGGCTGCTAAACTACGTGCAGGAGAGTGTTAACCCGTGGTTGTCTGGCGTATCCTTGATGTGCCCGCACCACGAACTCTTCTCCGAGGTCTACAAGCACCGCTGGCACACACGGAAGATTGGTGTCGCTCTGTGGGGTTTCTCTTCCCCGGCGCAGTGCACCCGCGAGATGCGAGCTCCGGGTGTACTTGTCGAAAGCGACGATCAGCACGAAGAATTTGCCACTCCAAAGCAGCCGGCGAACTTCGACATCTTTGGCGACAAGGCACGGGAGCGGGAGCGGGAGGAAGAGGAGCAGCGACGTCGGCTAAAGTTGGAGGCGAAATAGCGAAGCAATGAGACGCGGCAAAGAAGAGAGGAGAGGAAGACCGCCAAAGAAGTCAAAAATGGAAATAAAGAAAAACTGCAACAAAAAAAAACGGCACAGGAGGCAGGGAGAGAAGCGGGAAAAAAACGACAACAGAAAAAGGTGCGGTGTGAGAAAAGAGGAATATATACGTGCACCATATATGCTCTACTTGTTGTTGTTTTTTGTTTCTTTTCGTTTTGCTTTTCACGGGCGGGGCGGTGAGGTGGTGGTTGCGGTCCGCGCCTTTGCGTGCGGTGGTCCCGACCACCCCGTTGCTTTAGTGGCGTGCACCGTGGCTGTTGCAGGGTGTCCATCTTAGAAAGTGCCTTTCTGTTCCTTCTTTTCTTCCCTTCCTCCCCTTTTTTAAAAAAAATCTCTCTCTCGTGCGAGTGAGGGCCACCAACGCAGGCAAACCGAAAAGAAAGGGGATGGGAGTGGGGGGTGGGGGGAAGTGACTTTGCCGTATGAGTTGCGGTCCGCACATTTCTTTTTTCTCTTCCAGTGCCTAGTGGTGGAAGGGGGAAAAACGAGGGCGAGAGCAACCACCAAAAGGAAAAAGAAAAGCACAGGACGATGATAAAGAAACACCAGCCACACCAACAACGTGAGTCCTGCAATTGCGGGTGGTACGAAAGCCTTGATGTGTTATTTTCTTCTTTTTTACCCCCGCGCTCTTGTCATCCTGCACAATGCAAGGTAGAGTGAGAGGAGGCCTCCACTGTGGAGAGCGAGCTTATGGGCGCGCGCCACTCGAAACTCGCGCCCCCGACACATGTTTCCTTTCCCTCCCCCAAGTGTCTCACTTTTCAGAAACCGACGGCGACACACGGGGGGCGAACCCTTGGATGAACGTTCATTGTGTGGAGACACACCACCGTACAAATCCATTTGTGCCCGCAGTAAGGGCTTGTCAGTTGTGCGTGAGCTCACGCCAGTCTAAGAGGCATAAATTGCCTCTGACGGAGAAGCCGAGGCCTTTCTGTGGGACATGCCCGTTGATGGGTTCGAGGAGTTGGGCAATGATCAAGGCAAAAAGGTGCACTACGTCTCTGCTTTGACGCTTCTTACGCCGAACGAGCTACAAACATCGAGTGAAGAAGGTAAGGCGTGGCGGGGACGGCTCTTGTGCCCGCCCGGCGTGACACCTCTCTTTCCCCCTCCGCCCCTTGCTGAAATGCGCCTTTGCAGATGGAGTTGGTCCTAAGCCATTACTGGGATTGACTGAATTTTGTGTGTTTTTTGCCATGCATAGTTTTGGTTGCTGTTTTTTTTTTGTTTTCTTTTGGCCCTGCGTGTGTTTTTGTGTGATGAGGGGGGTGGGGTGGGGTGGGGCGAACACCACCGTCTGAAGGTAGAATGGTGAGTGTTGCCAAACCGCACGTGCATCCTTGGGGGCATGTTTCTGTTTCTCTCTGTGCGTGTGTGTTTGGTGCAGTTTTGCCTGGGCATCGGTTGCAGGCGCTGCCTAGGCTGTGGACTTTTGCTGGGAGAGATTCTGCGGGGCTGCAGTTTCAACCGATTCCATGGACCTTGCTGTGCGGAGCGGTGTGGGGGTGGTGGGGGGAGCAAGGGGACGGTCTCGCCGTTAGTCGTCAACGATTGTTGCTTCACTGTGTTCCCTTTTTTGTTTTGCTATGGATTGCTGTGGCAGGGATACGAGGGAATGAGCGACAGTGACACCTCCAGCCTTTACTCCTCCTTTTTCAGTTGCGAGGCCACTGCACTTCCGGTGGAGCCTCAGTGTGAGTTACCGTGTATTATGCGTTGCATGCGTTTTAACAGGCTTTCCCTTCCGTTGAACTTTGCTCTTTCTCCGCGTGTGGTTTGCCGTTGTTAGTTTTGGGGTCTGTGGCCGCAGCAGCGTCTGCGGGTTGTTGTTGTTTCGTTTTTTGCTTTGCTATAGAAGCAGCGAACAACAAGTATGACGCCCGTGCGGCGGTATGCCGACAACATCTACACATGTGCAATCCCTCTCTATCTCTCTATCTCTCTATATCCATTGATCTTTATATCTGTCTGTTTATACGTATAGTATATATATATATATATATATTCTTTTATACGCTTCACACACGTCTTGTATGAATTTTTTTCTTTCTCCACCTCACCCATCCACACTTTTCTTTTCTTGTTATGCGTGTATGAGTCTTCGTTGATTTTTTTTTTTGAACTCTCTCCTTCTTACTTTTTTCTTCTTGTTTTGCCGCCATTTTTGTTGCGGTGTTTGGATTCCCTTTGAATAGCTGTTGTAAATAGTTGCCTTGACGTCTATTGGTCCCATCTCCTTGTATCTACGCACCTCTGCACCTGCGTGCGTGCGTGTTCTCCCTGCTTGTATGCCGTGCCTCTAGTCGCACCGTTTCCCAGGTGTTGTCGTGCTAGACGATGGAGCTGCGCAATGATGCCGCCGCTACGGATCGGCGGGATGCACTGCATCGCACCCTCTACCTGCGTCGCGAGTACACCCTCATCGCAACGTGTGGGCAATTCGATGATGTTCTGTTGGTTCCGCCCCAAAACGACTCCGGTAAGCCAGACGACTGCTGGAGAGGGTTGGTGGCTGTACGGGGTTCCTCGTCGCCGTGGTACCGCGGCGTCTTTACCTTTCTTGTGTGCCTTCCGCCGCGGTACCCGTTTGAGGCACCATCAGTGCGCATGGAGACCCCCCTAAGGAGTCACCCTTTCCTGCTGGATGACAGCGAGGGGAGTAAATGCGTCGTTCCATTTGACGACATTTATCTGGCGCTTGATCCGATGCGTGTGTCAGTGATGGCACAACTACTGCACCACATGAAGTCCCTATTTTACCCGTCGGAATGGATCACAACGGCGCCTGTCAACAAGGCTATTGCCAGATACGATGCGGAGAGGCGCAGCGTGACGCAAGAGGTGGTACTGGGGAAGCCGTACGTGGACTACCTCTCCCGCGAGGCGGTGTCCTTCTTTTCCAATCCTGACTACTTCGAAAACGGCGACATCCGCATGGACGCATCGCGGCGTGAAGAGATGTGGGAAAAGGCGTTCTCTCTCTGGCTGGGTCGCACATGGCTCCCCGCCGTCCGCTCGTTGCAGTGAATCATTGCTCTTGTTCTTCACGAATGCGGCTTTCTTCACCTACGCGATTTTGTCTCTCAACCCCGCAGCAAGTTGCCCCCGTGTCTGTTGTGGTTGTTAGCTTTGCGTGTCTGGCTGTCTGTGTGTGTGTCCTCGTGACCTGTTCCCAGTTATTTCCTTGCATCTCATAGCCTCATCTCTCGCAACACCTCCACGCATGCAGCGGAAACTATTTTTGTTTCTTTTTTTATTTGAAGGAAAGGAGGACTGAGGAGGTGGGGTTTGTGGCAGCGGCCGGTGTGGCAATAGTAAAAGGACGCGTCATAGCTTCGATGCAGTTCAACTGTAGCGCGACATCACGTCTGCAAAAGGAGTTTATGGAGCTCATGATGGGCGGAACCGAGGGCATCTCAGCCTTTCCGCAGAACGACAATCTCTTCCACTGGATTGGCACCGTGCAGGGTGCGCCCAACACCGTCTATGAGGGACTGGAGTACCAGCTCTCCCTTGAGTTTCCCTCGAACTACCCGTTCGAGGCACCCGTTGTGCGCTTTCTGACGCCGTGCTTTCACCCAAACGTTGATACATGTGGGACGATTTGCCTGGACATCCTGAAGGATAAGTGGAGCGCTGTCTACACTGTATCGAATATTCTGCTCTCCATCCAGAGTCTACTTGACAACCCAAACAATGAGTCACCACTCAACAAACGTGCCGCGGCGCTGTGGGGTAATAAAGAGGAGTACCGCCGCGAGGTCCTCCTGGCGCGCAGGGACGCTGTGTCTAGCGCGTCATGAAACGTCTCTTTGTGCGTGAATGTAAGTACGCGCCTGTATAGAGAGGGAAAGGGGACAAGGGGGATATAGATCTCACAACGTGATGTGTCTGATGTGAATAGAGGTGAAATCAGGGACTGAAGAGAACGAGACTTTGTTTCTTCTCTGCTTGTTTGTGCCCCGCCCCCTTTTCTACCTTTGCTGCAGAGGGCAGAAACATAATGGGGTGAGTGGGTGGGTGGATTGGTGGGTGGATGCTGTTAGAGTTTATCAGGAGCTGATGCTGGTGGTGGGGAGGGAAGCAATAGTTGAGAAGGAAAAATAATAATAATAAAAAGAGGGAGGCTGATAAGCGCGGAGGAGGAAGGGAGTGGGGTGGGGTGGATGGGGGTGAGACTCTGCACCGCCCCCTTTGTTTGTTAACAAAAAGCTGTTCAAGCCACAAACTAAGACCAGGGCAGAGAGGGTTTGGGTGAGGTGGAGGAAAGGAATTTGTTAACTTTTTTTGACTTGCTTTCACTCTGACAAAGACTTCCACATTTATTCCTTTTTTTTTTATTGGTCATTTTCTGCTGTTGTTCTTGCTGCTGTCTCACTATTTTGTTGTTGTTGTTGTTTTTTTTTGTGTGTGTGGTTGTTTGGCCTTCACTGTGCGTTTTATGCTTTTTGCGGTGCGTTGTCCGCGTCTCTGCGTCTCCGTGTATTTCTGTCGAACGGTGTGCTTCCTTTGATTCTGCCTTTGATGGTGTTTAGGGGGCGTTTGTGTGGCAAGGAGGGAAGGTAGTGGGGAGGCCGCGCGGTAAATGAGCAGCAGCGGCGTTTACGGGGAGGAGCCGTCGAGGGGAAAGGGGAGTCTGCCGCATGGACGTGTGGGGCGGTGTGGATGGAGTCCGGTTACATTACACTGCACGTGTGAGACCAGGTGATGTTATATCGCCCCCTATTTCCCTCCCTTGTTTTTTGTTCTTGTTTTCATGTGGCTGACGATGTGCTCTTCCAGCACATAAGCGGATACTTTGCTGAGCTTGAAGGGGGCGCATCCGCGGGAGTGGCCGCGCGGACAGGAGGAGACGCCACTCGTGTCGACGCCAACGTGGAAATAATGCCATGAAGTGCTGAAGCCAAGTCTGTCTTTTTGAGTCTTTTTTTTTCATGTGCGCGGGGATGCGGTGGGGAGAGGCGTTGCGTGGCTCTTCTTGATATATGTGTTGCGGCCTGAGGGGGCCTCCCACGTTGACGGTGACGGTGTCGCATCGCGTGTATGTGGGAGAGGGATTAGTGGTGGTTGCCGCACCTCCTGCCCCCGTCCTGCGCGATGGCTGGGCGACTGTCACAGCGCTGTCTGACTAACTCGACGCAGATGCGTCACCACACCACATCACGGATTAGTGGATCAGCTTCACCCTCACGTTCCCACCCCCCATGTTTCCGTCTCTTTTTTGTTTTGGGACTTTTCGTCGGGAAGAATTCGTGCATAGAACACAAACCAAAGAGAGAGAGAGAGAGAGATCGAGAATATAAAAAAGAAGTTAACTCCACATTTCACTCAACACAACATGATGCACCGAACTGTGGCGGCGCTCGCAGGGATCAGTGGGATGGCGGTGTACACCCCACCGTGCCGCGTTGCCCTCAAGGACTGGTGTGCCTGGACTGGAAATGACTGGAAAAAGGTATCGAGCGTCGTTGGCGACTCTTTTCGCATTCCCAGCTGTAACGAGAACGCCTACACCATGGCGGCGACCGCGACCCTCCGTCTCATCCTCAACTACGGGGTTGACCCCGCCCGTGTCAGTTTCCTTGGACTAGGGACAGAGAGCAGCACGGATAACTCCGCCGGCTCCATTATTGTGCGGGGTATGGTCGATAAGGCTTTAAAGGAACTTGGCATGCCACGTATATCGCGTCACTGTGAAGTACCAGAGTTCAAGCACGCCTGCCTTGGTGGTCGTATACGCTCTGAAGAGCGCCGCTCGCTACGCGGAGGTAGACGGTGATGATGATTCGCTGGCCATCGTTGTGGCGTCTGACATTGCGGAGTACGCGCTGGGATCGACAGGGGAGCAGACACAAGGCGCCGGCGCTGTGGCCATGCTGGTGGAAAAGACACCAAAGCTGGCAGAGTTGGATACAAAATGCGCCGGCTCCGCCTCTGACTACCGTGGACCCGACTTCCGCAAACCGTTCAAGCGCCACTTCATTGAGGAGTATGGCAGCAGCACGGAGCACGGCAAGATTCCAGACTTCCCCGTCTTCTCCGGTCCCTACAGCACGATGGTGTACCTCGACGAAGTCACTGTGGCAGTGGAACAAATGCTGTCCAAACTGAAGCAAAGTCCCGGAGACTACTACAACTTCGTTTCTGCACTTTTTTTTCATCGTCCGTACAACATGATGCCGATCCAGGCCATGTCACTTTTTGTACTCACGTGGACTGGCACGTGCCCACTCCGAGAAACACAAGAAATACTTTGCGGATCTTTGCGCAAAGGCAAAGGTGGATCCTGCTGAAGTGCGAAAGGAACTTGATGTGGTTCCCGACTACTTTGGCATGATTGAGTCAGGGCAGGAGCCCAAGGATGTGTTCGGTGCCACTAATAAAGTTGCCAAGGCTCTCCGGGCAGACAAGGAATTCAGTGCTTTACTCAGCGCCAAGTTGAGTCTTGGTAGTCCGGCAATGTCAAATTTTGGTAACCTTTACACCGCCTCTCTCCCATGTTGGATTGCTGCCGGTTTTGAAGAGGCCTACACGCGGAAGCTTGACATTACAAACCACCCAATGGTAATCGTTGGCTACGGCTCTGGTGACGCGAGCGAGTCAATCCCGATGATTCCAGTGAAGGGATGGGAAACAGCAGCGTCGAAGATTAACGTGTCTGCGGCGCTGGAGAACCCCGTGAACCTCACACGAGAACAATACGAGGGGTTACATAGTGGATCGATGAAGGAGGATCTCGCCGCAGGGAAACGTAAAAAGGAGTTTGTTGTGGGCCACGTCGGAAGCCGCAACGAGGCATCCTTCCAGGACATTGGTATTGAATACTACCAGTTTCTTCAGTAAGGGGGGGGGGGGAGTGTGCATGCGCCAACAAGGTAAAGGAGGGGAAAGAGGCTTTTCTACTCTGTAAGGAATAGAGGAGAGGAGAGGGGGGGGGAGAGAGATAGGGCGAAATTGAGGAGAGTGGAGTGTGACTGGAACTTTTATCATGGTCACGTGACCGTGTGGTGGGTCAGATGTTATTCTTCGTGGGGGAGGCATTTATATTGTATGCCGGCACGCGTGCGATATGTGCCTGTGCCTGTGTGCATCAACGACTACTCGTGCCTTGGGCAAAACAAGGGGAATGCGGAGTTGAAGCGTGAACAGTAAGGAAACTGGAAGATGGGGAAGGGAATATATATATATATATATATATATATATATATAT